TGGTTTTTGGCAAGATCGATTCGGAGGGTTGAGAGTCGTTCGTTGATGCCAGTGGGTGCTTCAGACAGATGTTTCACCAGATCATTTCTGATGGCAAAGCCAACTCCGTGCATTCTTTGGTCTTTTTCGGGCAGTCCCTTCCAGAAGAAGGTGTAGCCTCCTTTTTCTTCCTTCAGCTGTCCCTCTCCTGCTCTCCGGGTCTCCTGAAGGGCTGCTATGTCGATGTTGAAGCGTCCCAGCTCCCTTGCAATGATGGCAGTTCTGCGTTCGGGGCGTTCACTGCCACTGTTGTCCATCAGAGTCCGTACGTTCCACGTACCGAAGTTCATTTTCCTTTTTTGGCCGCAGGGGGGTGACCCCACTGGATGCGGCACTCCAGTCAGGGATAAGAGAAACAGACTATGTTTAGGGCACCTTTTCTAGCCCCTTCCCCATGTGGGGTGAGCAGAGTGGGTCCTAAAATGGGCTGCTCAGTCATGGATACAGCTGCTGAACTACTCAACTGCCTCGGACCTTGAGGTAGAATGACTGAGTCCATATCCACTGCCCATGTGCCAGTCTGTGACTAGGGGCTTCCAGATTTCACAGTCCTGCCCCCGTCGCCACTCGCTGATCGCCATGGGACTTTGGTTGGTTTGTTTTTATTTTCTTTGGAAGACGCCTGTGCGTGGGTTTTTTTAATGTGTGGAGGTCAGTGCACAACTGATCAACACACAGACTTCACAGAGTGAGGTTCCACTGGTGATGTAGTTTAACACAATGACCGTGGCTTCTCAGTCTGTTGCAGCCTTCTTCCGCCTTCGCAGCCGTTGTAACATGTGCCATGTTATCCTCCGCCTGCTCCGCCGTTGAGGTCTTTGGGTCTTCGGACTGTGCTTGGTCTGGAACCCCCCCCGCAGCCACTCCTGGGAGTGCACGACTCCAGTTGTTGTGCCTACAGGTTCATCGGAACGCGCAAGCCCCCTCACCACGACAAGGTGACAGTCCATCGAGGGGGGGGGGGAAATCCCAGCAACTATAACTCCCAAATGACAAACACAATTTTTTGAGTGATGGTCACTCCTTGGGTTAGTAGGTGTCTTGTGGCCAAATTTGGACATCTGCAATGTCCACAGTGCATTGCAGATGTAGGTGAACTACAACTCCAAAACTTAAAGTCAATACCCACCTAACCCTTCCAGTATTTTCTGTTGATCGTGGGAGTTCTGTGTGCCAAGTTTGGTTCATTTCCATCCTTGGTGGAGTGCAGAATACTCTTTGATTGTAGATGAACTATAAATCCCAGGAACTATAACTCCCAAATGACAAAATCAAACCACCATCCCAATACCCCAACCCCACGAGTATTCAAATTTTGGTGTATTGGGTAATTGTGTTGAATGTGGTCCAGTGAATGACATCCTGCATATCAGATATTTACATTATCAGACATTTACATTATGATTCATAACAGGAGCAAAATTATAGTTATGAAGTAGCAACTATGGTGCTCACCACAACATGAGGAACTGTGTTAAGGGGCCGCGGCATTGGGAAGATTGAGAAACACTGATTTTTAGAATCATTCTCTTCTATCTCACAGCTATACATAGAGAAAGGAGATTCCACCTGAACATGAGGAAGAACTTCCTGACTGTGAGAGCTGTTCAGCAATGGAACTCTCTGCCCTGGAGTGTGGTGGAGGCTCCTTATTTGGAGGCTTTTAAACAGAGGCTGGATGGCCATCTGTCAGGGGTGCTTTGAATGCAATATTCCTGCTTCTTGGCAGAATGGGGTTGGACTGGATGGCCCACCAGGTCTCTTCCAATTCTATGATTCTATGAAGCCTAAATTGTACACACACAAATGGAGGAGTGTGTGTGTCTGTGTGTGTGTATCTTAATGATGGAGAAGGAATCGAACATTGTAGAAGCATTATGTTTGTCAAACAAAAATGAGGAGGAAAATCCAAAATTTAAGACATTTGTTTTATTCTAACATTCTGTTTTCAAAGACAAAGCTAAACAGTATTCAAGAACAACATGTTTAAGGAAATTAACATTTAACTTGTCACGGAAGGTGTTTTATAAAGTTGTACCCCCAGTTCTCTCCAAAAGCTCAGAATGTGACAACATCAAGGCAAGTGTATGCATTAGCAGCGCTAAAGTGTTTTAAAAAACCCAGCAGTTTCCGAAAATTCAACATACAAAAAAAATCACTTGTGATTCTTCCTTCCTTCCATCCTTCCTCCCAAAGAAGAACAAATTGCTATAGCCAAAATTTGCTGGTAGCCATACATTTTGCATTGAACATGGGTGCATCTACACTGTGTAATTATTAATGTAGGTTGATACAACATTAACTGCTATGGCTCAGTGTAGTTTTACAAGGTCTTTAGCCTTCCTTGCAAAGAGTGCTGATGCCTCTCCAAATTGCACTTTCCATGATTAAAATGACAAGCTGCAGAAAATCCTGTCAATCAACAGATTGGCAGTTCAAGCCCAGGTCAGGGTGAGTTCCTGACATCAGTCCCAGCTTCTGCTCATGTAGCAGACTGAAAACAGCAATGTGAGTAGGTAAATAAGTACCATTCTAAGCGAGGAGGTAAAAAAGAAGTCACCCATAAGGACATGCTGGCGACTCAATCAGGAGGACGTCTATGGACAACAAAACTTCTTGGCATGGAAGATGGAGCAACAACACCACCTTGTGACCGGAGTCGAGCACAGTCTCCAGATGCCAGAGATGAAAAAAATGGAAGAGCCTTTATTATGTATTGTCTGTCCTTGTTAATTGTATGTCAGCATTGAATGTTTGACATATATGTGATCTGCAATCCACCCTGGGCAGAATATTTAAAAAGTTTATTATTATTATTATTATTATTATTATTATTATTATTGAACCATGGCAGTTAAAATAGTGTCAATCTGCATTAATTCTATTAATGACTTCCTATCAAAGACCATAAAGTCAAAGAAACTCTCTGTACATGCCCTGGAGCACTCTCACACTTACCATTTTATCACGAGTACCAGAAGGAAGGAATTTAATGTCATCCAGGACAAGCCCTGGAGAACCCAACTACACATTTTATGAAAGCAGAACATATTCTCACCGTAACCCAATTTTAGTCCTATCTAGAGCAGATGCATTGAAAGGATCGTCTCAATTGCCCCTTATATAAGTTCCATTGATCTAATCAGGTCTCCTCCAATTCAGGCTAAAATTAGATTTACACCTCAAGCTGCAATTATTGGTTTTCCTCCCAATATCGAAGAAATTGAGAGTGAAGAGTAAAAGAAGAATGTTTAAAAGCATGTCCCTTTCAGGATCAACTGATTCTCTAAAGACCAATTGACCTCTCCGACACAATGCACAGTCTCCCAAAGTGTTGCAAAACATTACTTTCTTCTGTCTTGTATCATTCTGCCTTTTCTAGATTGGGAGTTTTGCAATATACAAGGCAAGCTTTGCAAGTGTTCAGATGCAGGAACACTGTGGATATTGCTTTGCATTTTCTCTGTGAGCAAGACAGTTACCATCAATGGGGGCATCCACATTGTCAGAATTAACACAGCCGTGCCTAAATACTATGGAATCATAGAATTTGTAGTTTGCTGGTGCATGGACACTCCTCAGCAGAGAAGGCTAAAGACCTTCTAAAACTGTCATCACCATAGCATTGAGCCATAACAGTTAAAAGATGTCAAACTGCATTAAGTCAACAGCGGTCATGGGAAAACTTTGGCCCTCCAGGTGTTTTGGACTTCAACTCCCACAATCCCTAACAGCCTCAGGCCCTTTCCTTTTCCTCCTCAGCTGCTTAGGCTGTTAGGGATTGTGGGAGTTAAGTCCAAAACACCTGGAGGGCCAATGTTTGCCCATGCCTGCCCAACAGTCTAGATCAGTGGTTCTCAACTTGTGGTCCATGAACCACCAGTGGCCTGCAAGAACCACCATTACTACACAGTTGCAACAAGAGCTACTGGTCTTGTGAAACCCTCTTATAGTGCTGAGGCTTATTAAGTATGGTTTTCTATGCGTGAGCAGATGGCGAGTATTGGATGGCATATGTCCTGTATCAGAAACTAGAGTTGATGTGGTCTATCCAATGCAATTTTCTGAATCACCACTCCAAATAACCAAACTGAATCTAAAGTTGACCAAAAACTGATTTGTTACCCTTTTGATACTAATGTTGGAGAGTAGTCCCTGGTCAAAATGGTCCCCAGTCAAGTGGCCCCTGGACAAAAAAAGCTTGGGAACCACTGGTGTAGATGCTCCTGCAGTCATAAGCATTATGTTAAACATGCAAAAGATCGTTCAAAGCAACAATAAGCAAACTTTCCAATCTCAGTTTTGCCCTAACAACAGCAACGATGTCAATGTATATATTACAGCCCAATCTTTTATGTGTGTATGCCGCTGAGTTCAATAGATTTTCCTACTGTGAAACTATTATATAGGGTTGCAAGTTTCAGCTTATTTTACATATGTGTGTGTGTGTGTGTGTAAAACTTTGTATAGTCTAGGATGAACTATCATAAGAACTAGATATCTTCCCTGCTATGAAGACACTGCTCTCCATTTTTCACTACAAAACAAAGGGAACATGGTGACATTCCTATAAAGTTTTATGTCCATTTCTCCCTTTTCTTTATGTCTTCTTTTTTGCTTCTTTATCGTTGATTGTGCTTTACTTTGATTGTAAAGGAGATTGTCCTAAATATATTCATTTGCAAATGTTAGAAATTGTTGTCCTGCAGCAGGAAGGAAACGACTATGGGATGGCAAAATAGCCAAAAGATTTTCATCCTTCCTATTTAAGCTTAGGTGCCAATTCTAGGAACTGTGCCAAAATGGTTCCCATGGCGACTGTAGCTGATTGGTCCCTCCTTAAGTCCGCATCCTCCAAAGGGTCACCCTGATTTTTAGCTTGCCCTGACTCTTAAATTTGCAATAGTTTTGTTTATGCACAGACTTTGCAAACACGGCATTTGTGTGTCGTAGAATAAATCTCCAAAATGACCAATAACCATCCTTCTGGTAGATAAAACAGAACAGCTGAAGCAAAACGCATCCGCCAATATTAGCTGAAGGTAGCAAGGGAAAGGGAATAGCTACGGCATCTAATCAATCTTCTATTAGCGGGATAGATTTCCCCCCTTTTCTTCTTTAATTTGAAAAGGGAGCTGGAGGCAGGGACGGGAGATGGGTTAATGGACTACCGGAGGACCTTTCGGCTATCAGTTCCACCTGAGCGGTATTGCCAAAGCACAGTTAGCATTTGTTTGGGGTTTCTTTTTATATTAATGTTAACTGCTAATATAATTATCCAATATGGCGCTTGTACAGCCATGGCAATAATTATGAGATTGTCCAAATGCTGTTGGACTGCATCTCCTAACCAGCACCATTAATGGTGGAGAAAGTTTGGAGATGTGGTCCAAAAATGGCTAGATGGTGGCATTAATCCAACCCCTGAAACTTTTAAAACCACAAATGGAGTGTTGAAAGGGGGCAAAGCTATACTGAAAACAAACCACTCAAAGCTTCATAGCCTTTGATGATTATGTTGGGAACTTCCATGGCATTGGTCTCCAACAGAGGAAGAAAGCAGATGGATGCAAGCTGAGAGAGCTCTTCCTGAAACAGATATGTAGGGATGCAATGGAGGGATGCAATGGAGGGATCACTGCATGGGGAAATTATATTTGAGGACTACAACTCTCAGAATCCCATAGCCAGCATGGGCCTTGGTTTCTCTGGAAACCAGGAGGAACTGGATAAGATAGACCCAACTCCCAAGCAGTGAAATCACCTTCAACCAGAGAAGAGCACATTATGGCATTTGTTCCGATGGAGAAATTGACATTTCAGTCTGAAGTGTTGAAGGGCATACAAATGATTAGAAACTTTTGTGTGTTGCTTGGGAATTCTGGGAGTTGTAGTCAAAAAAAGCAACTTCCCAACATGTATCTTGGTTTGCATGGGGGCTCTTGTTTTCGGTGGCTGTAAAAAGGGTTGATCCCATCACAACGTGATGTCCTCCAAGGCCAATCCACCTAGAGATCCATTTGTCATTCAGAGTGGGTCCTTGACTACAGCACTTTCCCCCCAGAATCCCCTTTTCCCCCCTTTAAAAAAACACAATGAAAAGATTAAAACACAGTAAGGTTAATACAATAGCAGGGGCATTCTCTGAAAACTCTCGTTTCCGCTTCTCCTCCCAGCATTGATCAGCCGCTCCCGTGGATTTCAGAACTCACGGCGCTTCATTGGAAGTGACTCCATTGCCCTTGTTCACGTAGAAAGGGCGGTAGTGGGACTGCAGAGTGAAAGAAAGCAGGGAATCAACTTAAGGGAAAGAAAACACCAAGATGGATTTCGCTGGTTTGTATCAAATCCCCCCGTATGTGTGTTTCTCCACAAATCCCTCCATCCATCCAGGCTGAAGAGTCACAAAATCCATTTTCCGCCTTTATCAATTAGAGACACCTGAAAGCTTGGCTTGGCTTTCCATCTCACTTTCGTTCTGCAGTCAATTGTGAATAACACCATTTACTTAACACATCTATACACACAAATTCTGAGAAGGAGAGACTGGTACCTATTCTGAGATGCTCCAACCCAAACCAAAGGCATGAGCAGGAAGACGGCCATCACAGCAATGAGAGGGACATTGCTCCAAGCCAATGGGCGGTTCCTCTGTTCTGTGTTTTTAAATATATGTGCTTTTATGGCCCTAGGTTTTATCTGTGTATTTCAACTATTGGGTTTCATCCCTGGACTACACAAGTTTCTTGTGTCATCAAGTTTCCAGTCCTCAATGAGCAGCTAGGCTAGAGACGGGGCTAAGCTGAGGCATTCCTTCCCCCACATTCCTATGCATGTTTCCCTAAAGGGCTTTGTGTTTTCTCTTTGCTGCTAGCCATTGTATCAAAGTAGAAGCCTATCCCAGCTCACCACATGTAAGTTTCTGATGGTTATGAAGTTTATTTCTGGTACTCTGCTATATTTATGGTGGAATCACCCCAACTGAGGGTGATTTTTGAGCCTAACAGCTCAGATTCCTCAACAATATGCCTCCTCGAGCCATGGGGAGAGGCAGCTAACAAGTAAATTATTACTATTATTATTATTATTATTATTATTATTATTATTATTATTTTACTGACACAAAAACACAGTATGTCACAGCAAATGAGATCTATATGCTGGATTTCGTATAAGCTGCTATTATTATTATTATTATTATTATTATTATTATTATTACTATTATTACTATTATTACTATTATTATAATAATTATTATTACCACCACTGTGTGATCTACACCCAAATGGTGGAGGTTTTATGGCTATGTTGTTACTGTTGGTGGTGGTGTTGCTGCTGTATGATCCCCTTCCCCAAATAGTGTTAGTGGTGGACATTACTTCTACTACTACTGCCATCCTCAAATGGTGGCCATGATGTGACATCATCATCATTGCCACTGCATGATTAACCCAAATGGTGGTAATGGTGCAACATTATCATCATCATCATCATCATCACCACTGCATGATTAACCCAAATGATGGTAATGGTGCAACATTATCCTCCTCCTCATCATCATCATCATCATCAATATCATTGCTACTGTGTGATCCACCCCCAAATGGTGGCTACGGTGTGGCATTATCATCATCATCACCATCATCATTATTGCCGCTGAATGATTCACCCTCAAATGGTGGCTTTGGCATGACATTATTATTATTATTATTATTATTATTATTAGTAGTAGTAGTAGTAGTAGTAGTAGTAGTAGTAGTATCATCATCATCATCATTATCATCGCTACTGTGTGGTCCACCCCCAATGATGGCCATGATGTGATATTACTTATTATTATTATTATTATTATTATTATTATTATTATTATTACCACTGCATGATTCACCCCAAATGATAGCCATGTTGTGACGTTATTATTAGTAATAGTAGTTGTTGAGGTAGTAACATCATCATAATCATAATTGTTGCCATTATGTGATCCATTCTCAAATGATGGCCTTGGTGGAACTATATTATTAGTAGTACTAGTAAAAGTAGTACCACCATGTAATTCATACTCAAATGGTGGCAGTGGTGGGACATCATCATCATCATTATTATTATTATTATGACACAGAAACATAGTATGACACAGCAAACAAGATCTATATGCTAGATTTCATATCAAAATCACAAGTTGAACACTTCCCAAGAGTTTAGGACTGTGTGATGTGTTGTTGTTGTTGTTGTTGTTGTTGTTGTTGTTGCCACCATGTGATCCATTCCCAAATGCTGGCCATGGTGGGACTCATGTACTATTGTGCTTCTTGCCACTTTGCTTTAAACACTACCCCTGTGCAGTATTAGCCACATTTCGGTTAACTCAACTGGTTAAAGAGATTTATACTGATAGTAAAGGGCCCATAATAGGTGGTGGATTAGCAGCCCGTCCATTCTTTCCAAGTACCTGCTGCTCAGCCATTGCCTGGAGTCTTACAACCCATTTGCTTTACCGCACCAATTTCGTCCCTAATTAAAGAGGGGAATAAGCTACCCTTTAAATAATCCTCCACAGGCTGGAGGGACAAGACTCCCGGAGCACAGGCTGAGGGTGAGAATTCATATTTATGGGCCTTCCCCAAATTTACAGGGATTACGCAAACGCATAATATTGAAAGCGGCTTTAAAAAGGTGGATTACTGGCCCACTAGACCATAAAAGCTCCTGCCGAGACTCCGCAACCCAGTGGAAGTGCATCTATTCTGGGACTTTTTAATGCTCTTTATTTATCAGTTTGGTTGTTCTGCTTTGGGGTGGAATCAGTGAATATAAATGCAGCATTAAAACCAAGCAGCTGCTCCAAATGCATGGCGCCACACTTCGCATGGTCAACTTGGAAGAGGGCAAGTTAGGGAGCCCTGAGTCCCTTTGTTGTGGAAAGAGGAGGAATTTCAGGGTGACAGCGCTGCTTTGAAAATAATATGTGTGCATTTTCCTCATTGGTTAGACTCAGTGTTCCTTTGTTTGAATGGCATACCCTATGCCACTGTTGTTGAAGCTTAATGTGCTCTGCTTTTAATTATTCATTTTAGATAGTATGAAATTTACTTTTATTTTCATTTTTATTATATATATATATATATATATATATATATATATATATATATATCAGTGTTTCTCAATCTGGGGGTTGGGACCCCTATGGGGGTCATGAGGGGGTGTCAGAGGGGTTGCCAAAGACCATCAGAAAGCATAGTATTTTCTGTTGGTCATGGGGGTTCTGTGTGGGAAGTTTGGTCCAATTCTATCGTTGGTGCAGTTCATTTTTTTTTTTTTTTTGATGGGGGAAGGGGCTCCCAACTGGTGACTCAGGAGACATGGTGGAACTCTGTCTTCCTGGTTCCTATATATCAGTGTTTCTCAATCTTCCTAATGCCGCGACCCCTTAATACAGTACCTCATATTGTGCTGACCCCCAACTCATGTTGTGGTGACCCCCAAATTATTTTCATTCCTACTTCATGACTGTAATTTTGCTACTGTTATGAACTGTAATGTAAATATCTGATATGCAGGATGTATTTTCATTCACTGGACCAAATCTGACACAAATTCTACATACGCTCAAATCTGAATACTGGTGGGGTTGGGCGGGGGATTGATTATTCATTTGGGAGTGGTAGTTGCTGGGATTTATAGTTCACCTACAATCAAAGAGCATTCTGAACTCCGCCAATGATAGAATTGAATCAAACTTGGCACACAGAATTCCCATGACCAAGAGAAAATACTGGGTGGGTTTAGGAGGTATTGACCTTGAGTTTGGGAGTTGTAGATCACTTACATCCAGAGAACACTGTGGACTCAAACAATGATGCATCTGGATCAAACTTGGCATGGATACTCAATATACCCAAATGTGAACACTGATAGAGTTTGGAGAAAATAGACCTTGAAATTTGGGAGTTGTAGTTGTTGGGATTTATAGTTCACCCACAATGAAATAGCATTCTGAACTGCACCAACGAGGTGCAGAATAAAACTCAAAAAAACCCCAACGAAACTTAACCAAAATTCCCATGCCCATAACACAACCCACAAGGTACAAACATATCTACTCAAAATGAAAAACACAACAACACACTCACAAAACGGCAAAACAACTGAGCATGCGCATTGGCGCCCAGCCGCAAGTTCCCTGGCGCGCACACATGGCCTTCCAGCCAACGTTCCCTCTGCGGAAACCATGCCCACGTCAAGCCCTGCCACGCTGCTTCCCGCACACACACACACCCCTGCCGCACATACACACACAACCCCACCCTCCATCACTCCCCCCGCCGCCGCACACACACACGCAACCCCACTCCCCCCGCCGCCGAACACACACACGCAACCCCACACTCCATCACCTCCCCCCGCTGCCGCACACACACACGTAACCCCACTCCCCCCGTTGCCGCACACACATACGCAACCCCACACTCCATCACTCCCCCCGCCGCTGTACACACACATGCAACGCCATGCTCCATCACTCCCCCCGCCACTGCACACACACACGCAACCCCATGCTCCATCACTCCCCCGCCGCCGCACACACACACGCAACCCCACGCTCCATCACTCCCCCACCCCAATCTTCCCTCCTTTTACTTCACGCCACCTCCAAACCCCACCCCGCCCCTTCCCGCCCTGTCAAAATCTAGGAAAGACAGGAAGGAAGGAAAGAAGGAAGAAAGAGAAAGGGAGGTAAAGAAAAGGGGGAAGGAAGGAAAGTTAGAGAAAGAAGGAAGAAGAAAAGGAAAGAAAAGAAGATGGAAGGAAAGAGAGACAGCAGAAGAGAACAAAAAAGGGGGAAGGAAGGAAAGAGATAGAGAAAGAAGAGGAGAAGGAAAGATGGGAGGGAAGGAAGGAAGGGAGGAGGGAAAGAAGGAGAGAAAGAGGGAAGATTGGCCACAGCAACACGTGGCAGGTAAAGGTTGTTATTTCTATTATTATTATTATTATTATTATTATTATTATTATTATTATTATGCTATTATTCCTATGAGACCCTTTTAGGGGGAATGGGAGAGGTGTCAGGTCCCAGAGGCAATGCATTGCATTATTGTTATTGTTATGATGGTGGTGAAATAAAAGGAAATAAAAAGTGAAAGAAGGAAGCAAACAGGAAGGGAAGAAAGGCAAAGGAAGAAAGGGGGAGGGAATGAAGGAAAGAGAGAAGGATGAAACCAAGTAGTGAAAGAAGGAAAGAAAGAAAGAGGTAGAGAAGGAAGAAAGGAGAGA